AGTGCACAGAGGCAACAGCTTGATCCCAGCACCATGGTTGACGATCACAGAAAGACAACCCACTTTGTTCATCACAATGTGCACAGAAGTAACAGCTCAATGCCAGCACTATATTTGATCATACTGTGCACAAAAAGATCAGAGCTCAATCCCATGACTATGCTTATCAATCACAGAAAGATATACACTATAGTCGATCATAATGTGCACAAACATATCAGAGCTCAATCCCAGTGCTATGCTTGACGATCACAGAAAGATACCCCACTTTAGTTGATCATAATGTGCACAGAGGTAACAGCTCAATCCCAGCACCATGGTTGACGATCACAGAAAGATGCCCCACTTTAGTTCATCACAATGTACACAGAAGTAACAGCTCAATGCCAGTACCATGATTGACGATCACACAAAGGTACCATACTATAGTCGATCATAATGTGCACAGGAGTAACAGCTCAATCCAAGCACCATGATTGACGATCACAGAAAGATACCATACCGTAGTCCATCATAATGAATCCCAGTGCTATGCTTGACGATCACAGAAAGATACCACACTTTAGTTCATCATAATGTGCACAGGAGTAACAGCTCAATCCCAGTGCCATGATTGACGATCACAGAAAGATACCATACTATAGTCCATCATAATGTGCACAGGAGTAACAGCTCAATCCCAGTACCATGATTGACGATCACAGAAAGATACCATACTATAGTCCATCATAATGTGCACAGGAGTAACAGCTCAATCCCAGTACCATGATTGACGATCACAGAAAGATACCATACTGTAGTCCATCATAATGTGCACAGGAGTAACAGTTCAATCCCAGTACCATGATTGGCGATCTCAGAACGACCCCACAGTAGTCGATCATAACGTGCACAGAAGTAACAGCTTGATTCCAGCACCATGGTTGACGATCACAGAAAGACAACCCACTTTAGTTCATCACAATGTGCACAGAAGTAACAGCTCAATGCCAGCACTATATCTGATCATACTGTGCACAAAAAGATCAGAGTTCAATCCCATGACTATGCTTATCAATCATAGAAAGATATACACTATAGTCGATCATAATGTGCACAAACATATCAGAGCTCAATCCCAGTGCTGTGCTTGACGATCACAGAAAGATACCCTACTTTAGTTGATCATAATGTGCACAGAGGTAACAGCTTAATCCCAGCACCATGGTTGACGATCACAGAAAGATACCCCACCTTAGTTCATCACAATGTGCACAGAAGTAACAGCTCAATGCCAGCACCATGATTGACGATCACAGAAAGATACCATACTATAGTCGATCAATTGACGATCACAGAAAGATACCATACTATAGTCGATCATAATGTTCACAGGAGTAACAGCTCAATCCCAGTACCATGATTGACGATCACAGAAAGATACCCCACAATAGTCGATCATAATGTGCACAGAGGTAACAGCTTAATCCCAGTACCATGGTTGACGATCACAGAAAGATACCCCACTTTAGTTCATCATAATGTGCACAGAAGTAACAGCTCAATGCCAGTACCATGATTGACGATCACGGAAAGATACCATACTATAGTCCATCATAATGTGCACAGGAGTAACAACTCAATCCCAGTACCATGATTGACGATCACAGAAAGATACCATACTATAGTCCATCATAATGTGCACAGGAGTAACAGCTCAATCCCAGCACCATGATAGGCGATCACAGAAAGATACCATACAGTAGTCCATCATAATTGTGTGGACAGAGGTAACAGCTCAATCCCAGCACCATGATAGAGGATCACAGATAGATACATACTACATTTGATCGTACTGTGCACACAAATAACGATCGTAGATAATACAATACTACATTTGCACACACAGAGGGAGAGGGACACACAAGCACGCACGCACGCACGCACGCACGCACACACACTGTTGATGTTCAACCTAAGATACTAAGATGCCAGAGATAGCATCAGGGCCTGCAGAGGTACTGCGTTGCTTCAATATGAATAATATAATTGTGTTTATTTTCTGATACAATTGTTAATGCTATAACTTTATGTTTATTACATATCTACTTTATGCGTCTTGGTTATTTGTTGGTTTATGACACATCGAACAGTATTGATTTTTGGATTAACCAACTGTGTCGATTTAGAAGTCGACACGTAAGAGTGTTTAGTCAGGTGTTGCTTTAAGCTTTGTATATATTTAAACATTTGACATGATGTCTGTAAAATATTGTCATGCTGTCTGTTAGCAACAGATGCTAGTTTTACTTGAACACTCGTGGTAAAAATATGATTTTTCCCATGAGATCTGTAGGCGAGAGATCATGCAGCGTATCTAAGTAAGTCAGAGCAGTTCGATATGTTCGGTTACCGTAAGCAGTATCACGGTTTTACTCCATAGGTATTTGCCAAAGTCGTTTTGCGAGCTACTTAATCCTGCAAACTAGTTACCGAGTATAGATAGGAATATTTCCGATGATATAAATTTTGTTTCCTGTCTACATAATCTTCCGACAAACAGCAAGGTAAGGTGTCAACGTATGTCTGCAGCCTATGATCCAGGTGCGCCTATACTGACTGCACGCAATTACCTCTTGGATATAACCAGAGACCATGTAATAAACTGGATAAACGTTGTAAACATTCACTTTGGACTCGTTCCAGATCGGTGTATTTTGATTTTGAAAGGCCCAGAATCTGTTCACATAGATAATGAATATTACACGTTTCTATTGCTTGTAATAGGATTATATATATGGAAGCTACAAGTAAATGGAGAGTCTGAGGCTGAAGAAGCATTTTACACACTTACTTAGCTGGAAGTGGAGGTTCCACTGGTGTGATCGAGCGTCTTGTACATGTTCTTTCTTCTCCTTGTTTTCTAATAGTTTGTCCAACTTTTAATATTGCATTTAAGTGACAAAATATGAACGTATCATGTTCGTCAACTCATTGACAATATTATGTTACAGCACCCTTCGATCTGGTACATTCATACATTCATACATTCGATCATACATTCATAAAACTGTAATAGTTACTCATAATATTCATGACGCTACATCCATGACAACTACACACGGTACCTCATACTTACGGTTTTCATTTTATGCATCAACCCTTAACATTTCTCAAACCTCTTTCGTTAGTCACAGTCCCGAGATATATCCAACTTAACTCAGACAGAGAGTCTCTTGGCTTCTTTCTATTGTTTCTATCAAAATAATTTAACAAACATTGTTTCTGTAACATACTTTTTATTTCAGAGACTATTTCAGATATTAAGTAAATTTAGTCGTCTTTGATATGCATGAACTTGAAGCTCTCAAAATAGGATACCGCTGCACTAGACCTTCTTACAAAAAGCATGAAATTATGATAATTATCTCATTTACAAGTACACGATTCACCATAGTATGGTTTCCAAAATAACTATGCAGCTAGAATAAGTGATTCTTTTCATGACACTAACAATCATATTCAAACGTGTGAACGAAACATCACCACCAACCGATTGCAATTTAAGTTTTCTACATTATACAGGTTAACAAGTACCCTTGATTTGTCATTCCTAATCACATGTCAACAAATGAACGAAAGGACAGAAGCAGCCACGAGACATATAGCATTTCACGTTTCCCTAACATAAAAGAAGCAATGACAAGTAACACTATATTTGTCATTCATAATGATATCAGACCGGTGATCATGTACGATACTACTGTTGTGTAGAACGTAGGCCTACATTCTTCATGAATAAAGATCTACAGTTGTGTAGTCATGACAAACGATCTGAACGAATCGTCACATTATAGTCCTCTTAATGGAAACCACCCAAGGGTTTCTTTCGCCTTACTTCCATCACAGGACGATGAAAAGTTAACCTCAAGCCTCATGAAACCTTTGTCTTCTACAAGATACTGATCATAAAAGGATGCTTCCTCTCATGTTTATCTTAAAATCTGCCCTTTTTAACATTAAAGTTATGAAAAAATCACCTTTGTGAACCATAGACTAGTCATGACAACACCGCTTACAGCCAAGCATGAGTGATGTGTCATCCATCTCGTCCACCCGTCTCCCCCACGGGTATGTCATCTCCCACGGTGAACACCTGGAAACCGAGGGCTATTGAAGACGCTCAGCTCACCCCGGGGTCTTACCAGACCCCCTGCCTCTCTATCTATACCCATCCTGTCTCCGGAGGTGGACTCGTTTTTACAGCATTGGGGGTCGCCAGGTATGATCGCTTCAAGGATTCTGATCACGAGTGGTAAAGTGACAAGGACAGCGAGACCGTTCGGTCCTCTTTACCTCAGTGTTCATCCCCACAGACCTGTACACCATGCAACTGGGAGTCTTACAGGAGCACCAGACCATGACGCTCTCTTTGTCAACAGTCGTTTCAATGGGGTGTTCGAACTAATGTAATTGGCTTTAATGATTATTTAAGAGTTGTCTCTTTCAACGGGTTGTTTAACTGTGCAATGATTTGAGTCGTGTCTGCACTTGGCGACAGGATACGCGTTTCACGAGCGGGGTTAGGTATCAGGCCAGTTAATTCTCTGTACTCGTACTAACGTCCTTCACAAACAGCAAACTAGCTATTGACTGAAGAGTATCATTATGATTCATGTCATTGTAATTTCTTCAAACCGCGTTGCTTATAGTTAAACCCATTTCTAAGGCATGTTTGAATAGCGACGTCAACTTCAGAGAAGCTATTTAGAAGAATAAATTCATGGATACTATATGCAACGCTGTAATCTTCAATGTTATTGTGTAAATGATATGTGTAATTGGCCATTTTGTGTTTAAAAAGGCAATGCCACATTATTCTATGTTTTAACATGAGTGAGTTTAATTTAAGACATTTTGAAAAAGGTATTTACTTTTTACGCCGTTACGGCTCAATTGTAACACCCAAACTGACGTGTGTCGTGGACTGTTAGCAGCTTTTGTCAACATCCGCAAGAAGCATAACCGGGTGACACCGCAGTCCGCTGATTATATCACTATTTACGAATAAATTGCAGTGAAACAGCAAATACTGTGAATGGCCATAATAAATCAAGGTAATATTAGTAAATAATTATGCTTCATTAATCCAGAAACCGCTTAATCCGGTTGAATTTAGCTGATACCGCAACAGTTTGGATTTGCAAGACTTCACTATTGACACTGAATCTGTACATCCACCACAATCTCTCCATTCAAGACACACACCTATGGACTCTCAAACATTCGAAATTTGGAAATTCGATGTTTACATTGATATGGTCGCATATTCCTGCCTGCTATTCGATATATTCTTAAATTAGCCCTGAATGAACAAAGAAATGGCCTTTCAATATAACGAAGTATAAACTACCTATATAACGAACTCGCTTCTAACGAACTGATGGATATAACGAACTGTTTTGCGGTCCCAGCCACTGGCCAGTGCCCAGATAGCATTCGGACGTTGGCCCAACGTTGGCAATGTTGGTAAAACCATTGCCAATGTTGGGCCAACGTCTGAATGCTATCTGGGTGGCTGCATATTTGGAATGGTGGGCGAGCTGGATAAGGTACCAGGCTAGTGATCCAGCGAGCTTGAGGTGCCGGGATAGAGCCCACCTGTGACCGGGTATAAACATCGTAGAGTCAACTTTGTGTGCAGACTCTTTCAGTGTTGTCACAACCCCTAGAGTACAGTACACAACCCTGAGCACTTAAAAGAACCAACGAATATACTTTGGTATATGACCAGAATATGAATACGTGCAAACATCCAGTTGCGGGTACAGCAAAAGGCAGTAAACTTGTGACTATGTGTACCAGAATACTATGTGTAAGTGGGTACCCGTAAGGATGGGAACGCCGCAATAACTTGGTGCGCCTAGTGGCTGCAAGAGTTGTACGATGTGCCGTTGAGATTGACATCCAATGATCGAGGGGGAAAAAACAAGCGCTTTGAGCATGTACAAGTTGCGTGGATATGTGCACTCTGAGCAGGGAGTAGAGCACCTCATAATATGCTAGTGTGTATCTGGGTCTACGTTAAGACGTATACAATCCCCAGCACTGGTTAATGTCGCTTATGTATAGTTCAATTTGGAGAGTACTGTTCAGTAAATCTTACTCGGCTATTTTGTATCTCACTCCATGTTTGCTACACAATATGAAGCGTATGTTTGGGGTCCCCGTCGTGATATCGTTGGAATATAAGCAGCTTTAAAACAATCTCACTCACTCTTTCAACAAACAAAAAACTACCACTTTTACATTGTACAACTTTAAATAGGCCATTAAACCTCAGCTGCTTTTGAAGTATTGTATGAATTAGCTAGGTGGATGGGTGCAATATCGTGGGTTTGTAAGCTTGTAGGCAGGACAGTAGTTAGCTTGGTTGGTACTTACATGTAGGAATGTAGGCAAGATGGTTGGTTCATTTTCGGTTTTTAGGTAGGCAGGCAGGTAGGTAGGTAGGTAGGTAGGTAGGTAGGTAGGTTGGTAGGTAGGTAGGCGTCTGTACGTGGGCTTTTAGGTAGACAGGCATGCAGGCAGGCAGGTAGGTAGGTGGTCGGTTGGGTGGTGGGTAGAAAGGTAGGTAGGTAGGTAGGCGTGTGGGTGGTGGGGTTTTAGGTAGGTAGGTAGGCAGGTAGGTAGGTAGGTAGGTAGGTAGGTAGGTAGGTAGGTAGGTAACTTCCAGCCAGGTAAGCAGTCAGTAGGTAGACCTGCAGTGAAGTACACAGGCAGGTAGTTCGGTAGCTAGGCAGGTACTTAGGTAGGTAGACCAGAGTGAGTGGATGAAAATAAACCAGGTCTATTTGTCACATGTCCCTATGCATCAAAAGGGTAACATAATTATCTGATCAAATGCAATGTTACAAACGAGGTCGATATCCCAAATATCGGTGACTGTCATCCTGGTTTGAAGGGCTTTACTCGTATGACAAGGGGGATTAGTGTTTATTGCTGAATTTACGGGTGTACATGGATTTTATATGACGTGCAAGTTTACTTAATTAATGCATGTCATCGTTTCCTAACTAGTAGAAGGGTGCTCATGATGTCAGTCACTCGATTGTTTGTTTGATTAAACAACAAACAAACAAATCATAAGATAACATGAGATGTAACACCGAACATCGGCTTAGTCGCTGAGCTTTCTTGACTAACTTGAACTATAATCTCGATAACCAAGTGCTCATTTTTTTATAAAACAAGTGTCAGACCCTTTTCCACGATGCAGCGTCCATGTGGACTGTGAGTGGTACGTGCATCTGCATTGCCATATCGTGGATTTTGTCAACATGGTAAGGGTGACAGGTATGGGTAAATACATATGCACGCATACACACACACGCACACGTCACTTTGAGATTGAAATAGTCTTCAACGGGACGTTAAAACGCCATTTCTTCTCGAATAATTATGGCTTCTTTGTCTAACGTCAGCTCCAAGACCACAGTCTCTGGTTTGGCTCTCGACGTCTACAATAACAACAAAACGATAAAACACATTTGCTGTATCCACCTGTCAGTTTAATCATGGCATATCTTCAGTCATTTTCAAATAGATACCAAGACTTGGAACCCGTCAGTCATCATTCAAAATATTCCACGGGTAAATATACCGGTGACGTTAAACGTTTCACGAGGGATTCCCTTAAGTGAAAATAATGAGAAATCTAAAGATTTAATGCTCCCTAGATCAAACCGTAGGGTTATTGTCCAGATAAACAAGGACACCAACTGAACTGTAATCCCGAGTGACCATGTAAACACACGTGAACACCCTATAAAGTATAACACGATGACTAGAATGGGCCAGACAGTCTTGATAAAACGCCATGGGTCGCACCCTGTTCTTAATGTGCTTGGTATATCTCATACAGGTGAGTTTTATTTTCCGTTTTCCCAGGTCATGAAACAACTGAAAAAAACACAACATATATTGAAATGTTATTACGCAATATTTGTAACTGTGATACATGTATATTAGGTTGGATCTTTACAATTTTCATTAATTTACATTGTTTTTATATCTTTCTGATTAGTTTTATGTCATCTTTTCCGGATCTGTTACTTGTAAGTCACTGTTTCAGGGAATCTTCCCAATGTTTTGACATCGACAGAAGGGCATTGCAGCATCAATATTTTCTTTGCCTGCAAGGGCAAGATTAAATTCATGAATTCCTCTTTTAAGTTGAATACTTATATTTATTCACAATATATTAATATACGTATGGCGTTTAAACAAATTCAAAACGAAACAAAAGCAATTGAGATCTAAAAAACAAGGTGACGTGTACAGAAAGACTCGTGAGTGTTATTTGGGAAGAGAGTGATGATGCAGATGTTTACATTCAGATGTTTACCGATATGATGAACACAAAGGCTTATAATCAGGCTTATGTTCATTGTAAGAAGTACATGTTAATATAAGTTGATACAATCTAGAAAAAACGCATACCATTCCAGCAATAGTTTTGTTGTCAGGCAATTCTTCTAATCCCGCCTCCTATTTTCTGAGAGCAATCTTCCGATTATGTTTCCAGACCGGACAATACGAAAAAGAAACACATGTAAATGTATATTAGCTATGTTTTCTAGTATGCATTATGTGACTTGAGTCAGGAGAAATAAAACTGTTTGAATTCGGTTATATTTATCATTGAAATTATGTGTTTTCTGGTCATTTCCTTAAACAGAGTGAGACAGACAGACATAAAATATTCTGTATGGAATCATCTTGTCAGACACAACATGTCAAGATGACAAAAGTGTTAAGTTTAATTCATAGACCTGGTCAAATGGTATCAGAAAAAAATTTATATATCTTCAGATAATTGTGTAAGCTTAGTTTTTAAAACACCGAATTGCCACAGAGAGGACCAACGGCCTGTCATCAAAATGTCATCAAAATGGCAGCCAACTGTACTCAACGATGGCCAATGAAGGCTGATGAAATTGTCATGTGCATGAACTGCCAATTCTACGCTGAGATATATAATTAGTTCAACAGCAAATCTACACATATATCACGAATCCTTGATTAGTCCAACCTTTTTCAATATCACATTGTCAAATTATACAGCCATTTTGCAAGGATAGGTAGTCCCTATTTCAAAGCCCCTATAAGAATTTGGGTGTATACATTTGCCAATGTCATACTTCGAGAACAACTTGCCAGCGACGAGGAATAACGTTAGTGTCTTCAGTGTTTACTGATGTCATTTCCCAGCTCAGGGATTCTTATAATAATCAGTTCTGAGGGTAGGTTAGGTGTGCTACTAGGTATTTTCTGAGATAATGAAAACATGTTGGGTTCCCGATAACAAGCTGAGTCAATACATTGCTGGAACAACGTCACACCGTTCGTGACGTCATAAACGATGAATAATACAATCTTCAAACATTTCCGACATTTGTGTAGCGTACGGCCCTCTGGGTAACCAGAAAAAGTGTGGAACAATTGCGTGGACTAGCAAATTAGCATGAAGGAAACTGATAATATATTTTTAAAATAATGTTTAAATCACGCGGCATTTTTGTATCTTCCTTGGTGAAATGGATACAGCGTCTACTTCGGTTCGATCCTTTCCATCTTACCGAAAGACGTATAAAGATGATAATTGTTGTTGCCCTGCCTGGCGGGCGGCGTTATAAGAATAAAGCAAGGACTGATCGTGGAGACAGTATGACGTATGGGATTAGTTTAATCTTATCTGTGCTGGCCCATCTCAGTCGATTAATATAAAACCGACACAAGTACAAACTATGCATGTTGCCATGTAAATGAAATAATTTTGAACGCGACATTAAGCTCCGTTTCTTTTACCATCATGCTTTTTGTCCATGAGTTCCACCCGTGAAGGTCCGGGTTAGAATATATTTTCAGTAACCTATGCTTGTCGAAAGAGGCGATTAACGGGATCAGTTGGTCAGACTCCCTGACTTGGTTGACACACGTCATCGTATCCCAATTGTTTTAGATCGATGTTCATGCTGTTGATCACTGGATTGTCTGGTCAAAAACTCGATTATTTACAGACCGCCGCCATATAGCTGGAATATTGCTGAGTGCGGCGTAAACTTAAACTCGCTCACCCACTCACTCACTCACTCACGATTTCAGGTGACGTCAGGGAAGGGTCGTGTTACTGTCGAGTTCATCCAGTACTCTAACCCCAGTGGCAGGGATTCTGGGGGAGAGTGTTGCGAGGGGGTCTTCAACTGTAAGGACCTCTGTGATCCTCTGTTCAAGGTCTGCTACAAGGAGCTGCCCAGTTCAGCCGAGTAATAGTATATACATCTATGTTATGCTATAGGTACAATGGAAAGTGCCTATTCTGGACACTGTCTTAGTTGGATCTCTGTCAAACTGACTTATACAATTATTGTATAAACACTTGTATCATTATGTGCTTCATTACTCAACAACCTGGGGCGGTGGGGTAGCCTAGTGGTTAAAGCGTTCGCTTGTCACGCTGAAAAATCCAAGTTCGATTCCCCACATGGGCACAATGTGCGAAGCCCATTTCTGATGTCCCCCGCCGTGATATTGCTGGAATATTGCTAAACGCGGCTTATAACTAAACTCACTCACTCACTCAACAACCTACTTAAACCGAAAACAAACACGGTACAGAATTCATGATAGTTTGCTATTTTCCCTGTAAATGGTCACTGGTCAGTTGTCCAAAATGCGGTAATCTTCAAGTCACTTAAAAGTAAAATGTTTCACGCTTTCAGCCCTATCTATTATCTGTCCTCCCGTTTAATGCTGAAACGATTTAAACTCTTGAGCAGAACTTATAACTACCAGATTATCCGATTTCAGTATTTGCCACTTGTGCATCAGGCATGTAATTGATGCGTCTCTCATTTGTGGCATAAAGAGGCACGTGTTTTGTGTTCGGATCAACGGTCTAATCCGATGATGATCTTTGGATGATGGACTATGGCGCATAAGAAATATCCGTTTATTATCATTATTATTATTATTATACCTCTGTCCGTTGATTTCATACAGTAATGAAAATCTATAACTTCTTAGATATATTTTCCACCCACATTAATCTGCCTCACTTTGATGCTGCTGAAATACTGTTTGAAGCCATGTAACACTCACTCACTCACTCTGCTTCAGAAAATGTCCTGTAGAGACTGGAAGCTACGAGAACATGAACCAGATAAAGTTTGGCAAGAGCATCGGCGGAAACACAAACAACCCTATCACCTTCGACTTCGACCATTTTGACGTACGTCATGTAATAAAAACCAAAGGAAAGTTGATGTTCTATAATGTTCTCAGTAAACGTATGAAGATAAATATCGGTTGTATCAATGTAGTCCTCCACCTACAGTATATCATGAAATCTCAATAGTCCGGTCTTCGTCAATGCGGACGATTACTGCTGTGAATACCCCTTATCATCTCTATCGGGTTGAGATCGCAATAGTAACGGGGAAGTCGTAAGACTGGTAGATTAATCACGCATGACAAGAGCATGTTGGCATAGCTCCCATAGCCGAAAGCAGAAAGGGGGGATCGAGAATACCAAATGTATGTATAAAATGACCATTTATTAAGTGGGTTGTTTCATATTTTAGACCGGTTTAAGGATAGAAGTCAATGCTCAGGATCACGACACAGGCTTTCTGTTCGGCTCCAATGACAACATTGAAACCGTTCACTACGACGTTGCAACGGCCTTGACCTTCAATAGCACGTTGCCGGGAACGTCAATCACCATGAAGGGGAACGTCATAACGTGAGTCATGGCTGAAATACCAGTGTAATGGTTCTTTTTGTTTGTACTTTAACCGAAGGAAAAATCAACATTCCATCTACATGACAACGATCTGTAAAGGATCGAGTCTGAGACAGTCCAGTGATTGATGTCGTGAGCCACGCCCCACCAGGTCAGTAATCGATTGCCCAATCAATCGATTGTCACCCGATCAATGTACTTGACATAAATGTACTTGACTTGTATGGCTAACATGACACATACATTGGAAGGTCTCTATTCTTACCTAATATCCTTAAGTGAGTGAGTGTGTTTGGTTTTACGCCGCTTTTAGCAATATTCCAGCAATATCACGGCGGGGGACACCAGAAATGGGCTTCACACATTGTACCCATGTTGGGATTCGAACCCGGGCCTTCAGCGTGACGAGCGAACGCTTTAACCACTCAATATCCTTAAGATGGGTGGGGGTAGATGAGTGCTGTAATGTATGTTACAACATAGTTTCCTCATTAATAATAATAACTGATCATATGTTTGGAAACGAAACAAGAAATATATCTTTCAATCCTATGTTATCGTTAGTGAACTGTCGTATTCTTAACTCTGTAACAGACATAACCGAAAACCAAATTCCAGAAAGGCTGCAAACCAATAACACTATAAAAGCTTAAAGAGTTTAAAGAAACTGTAATTATCTGTTTGTAGATTTGAGGCGACTGTACGTGTACAGTGCTATGCTCATAACTATGGCAACGGATGTGGCACCTACTGTAGGGCAGAGGACGACCCCGGTCACTATATCTGCGCCCCCACGGGCAAGAGGGTTTGTCTCGACAGTGAGTTGAATATAGAATACAAGATACAGATTCTAAACTGTACGGTAAACAAATATGCAGATTATAGAAGCGTATTTGTTAGGCGTGTGTTAAGTATGGATTCTGTGGAAAATGCGGTGCAGAAATGAATATTTTATGAATGCTTCATTATTTTTGCCTCATTTGTAATAATCCTGATTTTCATTGTGTTTGCTGTTTCAGAGTGGATTGGAGCAAAATGTGACCAATGGGATTACTGTTTCAACAGCACGTGCCAAAACAACGCCACCTGTCGGAACAACCCTCGTGACTATTCTTGCCTGTGTGAAAGTGGCTATACAGGTACGGCTGAATTAACAGAAAAAAAATCAATACATAGAACACTTTGTCAGACACAAAAATTACTTTGTGAATGCGTTCAATGAGAATTACAGCATGTCCGCATAATTTTCTCCTTCTTAATGTGTTTGTAAAATTCCACCTCTGTTGTTTTGGTTTTCAAAAATTAGCGTCACAAATACGTTGTCACAAACATACGATAGAGTGAGTGAGTTTAGTTTTACGCCGCTTTTAGGAATATTCCAGCAATATCATGGCGCCACTTTTTGCAATATTCCAACAATATCACGGCGGGGGACACCAGAAATGAGCTTCACACATTGTACCCTTTTGGGGATTCGAACCCGAGTCTTCGGCGTGACGAGCGAGCGCTTTAACCACCAGGCTACCCCACCGCCCACACATACCAAAGAATGTTCTATCGTTATTTGTATGTGTGTTATTTAAAGCAGTAGTCAGCAGATGTTAGGAAAATTATAGTTAAGTATGTTAAATAATCGAATTTGGACCAGACAGTCCAGTGATTAACATTATGAGCATTGATTTACACAACTGGAGTACGCTGACATTTGTTGATCAAGTAAGCGAACACCCGATCCCGTTAGTCGCCTTTTAAGACAAGCATGGGTTGCTGAAGACCGGTTCTAATCCGTATCTTCACAGCTGTTAAGTCACAGGCATTAACTTGCTCTACACGACTAAAATGTTGAAGCTGTTCAATTTTGAAGCAGCCACAAAAGTTTACTGGTGCAACTGGTCCCTTGAAATGTGTATGATCAAATTTATTGACAGGTACGTTCTGTGAGACACTGATTCCAACCACTACGACGACACCATCAACGACATCCATTCCGACGACCGCCAGTCCAACATCTACATCTACGACTTTGCGATCAACGACGATATCGACAACGATGCCTTTTACTGCTACTGCTTCTACCACCACTGCTACTGCACAGCAGACAGAACCAGCAAGTACCAGACAGAATCGAATTCGCCATTCCCATGTACATATTTTTTTACCTTATGTTCAGTGATATATGTATTTCTTAAAACATAATAAAAATTTAATATTACAATTTATATCGGATGTTAAATATAGAATCTAATTGAACATTTATTATTTATTTTTTTATCATTACATTGGATGTTGGTATCATCATCATCATCATCATCATCATCATCATCATAACTATCATTATCATCATCGCCTGACATTGTTGTGTTATCTGTACTGCAAGGTGTCCGCTGCTCAGGGGGACAGGACGCTAGATTTCGTGTTGACTGTGTGTGGTGTGATGTCCATAGTCCCCTTCACAGGCCTGGTTATTTTGCTCAGAAGGTACTGCAAAGACAACCTTGAATTTCTTAAATGAGAGTTACTTTTATCATATTGCTATTGTTTTCTGTACGATATTGGTATATTGCCTGTTGATTATTATATTAGCACTATGTGTTATGCAATAAATCAAGCACATAATGTCATAATGATTTTATTTATCAGAATTGCGTCCTCAGTCTTCTGTAATACCGTTAAAAGCGTCGTAAAATCTCATCAGCAATTGAATGAAATTGGAGAACGTACACGTTACACTAGAAATTAACCTATTTTAATAGTTAGGGGTTCATTGGTTTCCAGGAAGTGTCAAAATAAAGTGAAGGCTGAGCCTCATGTTAAAAAGCTACCGAGCAAGGCCAAGTACAACACAAGACGACCGGAACGTTGGGCTAAATAGTGTGCTGCCTTAACCAGGACAGGCTTGAGAGAGGAGGGACGTCGGAGCCACGTAATACACGTATTATAGACTCTGTATCAAAATAAAATATTGCACCTGAGAAACTGTTGCCATGTTCGTTCCAACGATGAGTTTACATGCCGGTGCCGGATACAAATACTTGCACATAATCCTGAGATACAAACACTTGTATATAACGTTAAAACATTGAGACACAAATACTGGCGCATAATCTTGAAATAAAAATAAAGGTACATTATCTTGGGAAACACACACCGTTACGTAGTCTTGCGCTACAAAAAGCGGTACATAATCTTGAGATATAAATACCAGTACATAATCTTGAGATTCAAATACTAGACTAAGTATGTAATCTTGCGAAACAGACCGCCTCCCTGGTGTAGTGGTTAGAGCGTCATCCCCGACCGCGTCCCAAAAAGAGAACCGCCTCCCTGGTGTAGTGGTTAGAGCGTCCGCCCGGAGAGCGGAAGGTCGCTGGTTCGATGCCCGACCGCGTCATACCAAAAGACGTTAAAATATGGTACTTGTTGGTCCCTGCCTGGCGCCTGGCATTAATGGGTACAAAAAGGACTGGTCGGCTCGGAGTCAGTATAATGTGTCTGAGTGGGGTATTCATGCTTCACTGCGGCATGGTATCTCAGTGGGCTAGCACTATGAAACCAGCTTCAGTCTGGGCTAGTTCAAGCAGCCGCACATACACATACACGCGCATGCACGTCGTCATATGAGCGAACTATTCTCAAGCACGACGTTAAACCCAATTTCACCTCACCTCTTGCGAAACAATAACCGGTACTTTATCTTCAGATACAATTACCGGTACATGATCTTTAGATACAAGTACCAGTATATAAGCCTGAAATACAAATTTAAGTACATAATCTTGAGATATAGATAAGGGATATTATCATCAGATACAAAACCATATTCTTAAGATAACTGCTATAACTAGGATAACAAGTTAGTCTTGGGACTGAAATAGGCTCTCTTCGAAACCTTAAAATTTACTCAAGGGCATTGACTGTGCACCACATGAATCCAAGGGCAATGTTTAAAAAATGGTTTAACCGTCAATCATAGCCTAGCATACTGGAATGCACGTGTATCTCAAAGGTATGGATCGCATATTCGCGTGCTGTAAAAGTGCAAAGCACATCATTGGGGTTTCAATTTCATAGTTTCGGAATGTGTATTCCTGTCTCTGAATTGATTTTAAATATAACTTTTCTTGACATGGCTAAGAAAATACACGATGGCAAATTACTAATATGCATGATGCAATGATGTCTTGTTGAAATGTCATGAACAACTACCACACGGTTATCAGTCGGCATTTGAGGAATCACGAGGCCACCACTGACGTCAAGATCGTCCAAGATCTGGAAGATCGGGAACACCCATCAACGTGTTGCCTGGCCCATAATTCGTCTGGCACGACTCACATGTGTGGTGCGGGTTCCGAGAGGACACAGAGTAGAGTTCACTAGTCTTCTGCACGTTACCGACGGCCGTTGTCGCGTATGGAGAAGTTGTAACGATACATATCAAGAGATGGTCCCTGTGGTTTGAAAGTGGTTCGTTTCCAGAAAGCTGGTCTCGTTCAATTATCGTCCCTATACATAAAAAGGGGGCTCCAGATAATTATAGAGGCATATCTTTAATGAGTGTTATTGGGAAAATATTTACAACTGTTTTAAACAACAGAATCCCAAACTGGTCAAATCTAAGAAACTTAATTCCTGAATGTCAGGCGGCTTTTAGAAAAGATTATTCAACTACTGACCATATCTTTACACTATATGCAATAATACAAAAGTGTCTATCGCGTAATAACACAAACTTTATATAATATGTAGCATTTGTTGTCTTTAAGAAAGCTTTTGACTCTGTGGATCGTTGTAAATTATTGCACTGCTTACGAAAGTCTGGTTTACAAGGGAAAATGTATTCTATTTAAAAATCTATGTACTTGAATATTAAATCATGTGTTCGTTGTGGTGATGATGTCACCGATGTTTTCGACTGTCCCATGGGAGTTCGGCAAGGGTGTATTTTAAGCCCTGTATTGTTTTCCTTCTTTATAAGCGAAATGTATTATGATATTTCTAATCCAGGTAAACATGGTGTGTTTCCAGATATGATTGAAATTTGTATCCTCCTTTTTAGCCGATGATGTAATTTTAGTGTCAGATACTATCGTCGGTCTACAAAACCAACTGAATATTTTGGATCGTTATACAAATGAATGGAAGTATTTGTTAATTTTGTAAATACAAACATAGTTATCTTTAGAAGAGGTGGGCCTGTCGCCTCTAAAGAAAATGGTTCTTGAGTGGCAAATATTTATCTATTGTTAATCAGTATACCTATCTCGGACTATAGTTTTCCCATACCATGAACTTTAAAAAGAGTGTTATAGACCTAAAATCACGTGCTAAGAAGGCTCTTATTAATGTTATGTCAGTATCCCAGAATTTTGGAATTTTAACCGCGAAAATATATTTTATATTGTTTGATGCACAAATCCAACCGATTATGCTTTATGGGTCTGAAATTTGGGGATTTCAACGTCATGAATGTCTAGAGAAACTACACCTTTTAGCAAGTAAACGATTTTTAAATGTAGTGCGAGCAGCACAAACTTGTATGGTTTATGGAGAATGCGGTAGATATCCGATATATATAAATTCACAAATCAGATGTTTAAAATATTGGTTAAAGATCCTTGGAATGCACGAACAAACAATCCCCAAACTAGCTTATAACATGCTTGTACATTTAGATGATAAGGGTAAGACAACATGGGCGTCTCATATTAGAACTCTTTTATTTTCTCATGGCTTTGGATTTGTGTGGCTAAATTCAAACAGTTGGTAATATTAATCTATTTCTTAAGCAATTTCGAGAACAATCTGTTAGCATGTATAATCAAGAATGGCATTCTGTCTAGACAATAGCTCAAGATACCAGTTGTATAGATCACATAAGAGCTTAATTCAACCAGAACTATATCTATCTGTATTGACATCTAGAAATATCAGACGCACACTTGTCAATTTTCGATTGGGCTTGTTAGACTTATCAGTAAATAAGGGCAGACGATTTTCAATAGAGAGACGTTTAAGGATATGTCCATTATGTAACTCGGCTATAGAAGATGACATTCACTTCGCTTTTGTATGCCATCATTATGCTGATTTAAGAAAAAAATATACCCCAAATAATTACCTGTTAAAATATCCTTCATCTGTCTTTGCTTCCATTCTATCCTCCAAAAATGAAAATGTAATACGTAATCTTGCGCTTTATGTAAAACATGCTGTTTTCCTTAGAAGCAATATCTTATCTGAACTGTAATTTCTTTGTGAAATGTCTGTAACATGTGCTGTATATATACTTGCATTACTTGTATATGGGCCGGAGGCCTTAAGTACAATAAATATCTTTGACTTTGACTATGACTACTAAAAGGTGTAAGATTCCGTTTCGAATGACGGTAAGTGTGATCTCACTACAGTACCTGGAACACTCAATAGTCGAAGTTATCAACATGAATCTTTGGATACAGTCGTCGTGCCACATGTTGATAACCATCTCCTCGCCAGTAGTCGGATATTCATGGAGGACACCACAAGATCACACCAAAGATTCTCGCCTATTTGCAGAACAACGCCATCGAAACATTGCCATTACCCCAAGGAAACCAGATATGAACCCCTTATAACATCTTTGGAACTATCGTGTTGAGAGCTAGAGATCCTCCAAATCAAATATGCAGGCAGTGACGCAGGTACACCGTGCGGAATGGCAGAAAATTTGAGAAATCGACGTTTGATTGCCAGTAAGGTCAAGACTGGCAGATATAAGGGTCGCTACACCAGCTACTGAGGTGCCAATCATTATTTGAGAACTTACTGACAATTAGATTGTGGCGTAGTCATGGTGACCCTACCTTCTGTCATTGTTGATATTCACGTTTTGGTTATTCTTCTCAAATTTTAGGTAAATTGTTACCAAATTTCAATTTCGGTCTGTTTTATTATAAGCAGAGTAAAATATGTTACAGTTACCATTTCAAAACGCGGAATTTTGTTTTCAAATCATATACAACAACATGTAGTATTTTCGTACTGATCATATAATAGGTGGGTGATACTTGATTAATGCGGATATCAATATATTCAGGTCACCTCAGCATAACGCTGTTCATACGTGGGTGGTGGGGTAGCCTAGTGGTTAAAGCGTTCGCTCGTCATGCCGAAGATACAGGTTCAATTCCCAACATGGGCACAGTCAGTGAAGCCCATTTCTGGTGTCCCCCGCCGTGATATTGCTGGAATATTGCTGAAAGCAGCGTAAAACAAAACTCACTCACTCATTGTTCATACGTCTCACAAAAGTCAATCATATACGTTCGTGTTCAGTTCCTCTTCGAGACCAACATCTTGACTTCAGAGTAAGACAATTATTGCTTTCAACGTAACGCATCTGGCAATATGGATAAAACATGTGTCGTACCCTGTTTATAGAAATATTCGCGTTTTCGCGACCATCTGGCATCATCACTATTATGATTTAAGTATCTTCTTACAATTCTTTCAATATATTACAATCGGTTCATAAGTTTAGAATTGATCTTCTGCAACAAGAAGATCCGGCTTAGAGTAATTCAGGCCTTGTCGAAAGAGGCGACTAACGGGATTGGGTGGTCTGACTTGGTTAACACGTTGTATCCCAAATGTGTAGATCGATGCTCATGATGTTGATCTGGTCCATACTCGATTATTTACAGACCGCCGCCATATAGCTGGAATATCGCTGAGTGCGGCGTTAAACAACACAAAAACGAACACAACGTAATAGAAATACATTTATTTACAAATGTCCTAATTTCTTCTTTGACCTCACTCCCTTTTCCCACGAGATGAAATACGCGTCGTATCACGGAACCACGGCCAAGGTTACAACAGAAAATGACACTTTTCTTTGTCAACGTCTGCATGTTTCAGGAAACTTAATTATC